TATTGGGGATTTTAGAGTAAAAAATGCTATACCCCAAAGTTCTAGTAATGTAGTGTAGGACCCTTTTTGCTGCTCCAAAATGAACTTTTGAAGGTTGTTGCATAAAACTAGATATCACACCAACTAGGAATGAAATATCAGGTCCTAGTGTGAGTAAGATAAATCAAACTCCCAAATAAGCTTCTAAACCTCCTTGCATCTGCCATCTCTTCTCCATCTTCTTGCTATAATTTTTTTTATTTATATTCACGGGGTACCTACAAGCTTGCAATTAACCATGCCAAATTTATTGAGAAGGTTCCTAGCATATTTCTTTTGTCAAAGAAATATTCCATCTCTAGCTTGATGAACTTCAAGGCTAAGAAAATAATGTGATAACCATATATTTGACATCTTAAACTCATTTATCATTTGTAATTTAAATTCATCTATAATAGCAGTAGAGGAACTAGTGCAAATGATATCATAAACATAAAGGCAAACAATGATGAAATCATTACCTTCCTCCTTTACATTTAACGTGGGCTCATTTTCACTTCTCATATACCCCTTCTTCTAAAGATATCCATCAATCCTATTGTATCATGCTTGGGGAGCTTGCTTCCAACCATACAATGCCTTTTTCAGCTTGTACACCTTTGTTTCACTACCCTTTTTTATAAAACCTTTTGGTTGTGCTACATAGACTTCTTCTTGTAAGTCTCTATAAAGGAATGTAGACTTGATATTAAATTGATAAACTAGTCATTGCAGTTGTGCAACTAATGGTAGAACTAGTGTCAGTTTCAAACCGAGCTATTGGAGAAAAGGTTTCTTCAAAAGCAACACCATATTACTATGCACAGCCTTTTGCCACAAGATGAGCTTTGTGCTTTTACAAGCTTCCATCTATAACAAACTTTGTCTTGAAAACCCATTTCAAGGTAATTGCATTTTTGCCATTTGGTAAATATACCATCTCCCATGTTTCATTTTGTTCAATGGTTTCATCTCATCCGTCATTGCTCCTTGCCATTCTTCCTTTTTAGCTGCTTCTTCATAATATAATGGATCTGAAACAATAAGAGAAAATTGATAAGTATATATGTCATCAGTGAATTTGGGATTTGGCTTTTTTACTCTTTTTGATGTCCTCAATGGAATTGGCTCAGCCGAAACCTCTTCAAGAGCAGTAGATGAAGAGTTACCGCTGCTTTGTGTTATCAATGGTGATAAGCTAACAGGAGAGCTTGTTAGAGTTTGCTTTTCTCCATCATCTAGAGGAACTTCAATAGTATCACAAAGCTCGTCCTATACCTGATTTTCATTCCAATTCCAGCTTGTATTTTCACCAAATATTACATCCCTTCTAGTTAAAATCTTGCTACTAAGAGGGTTAGACAATCTATATGCTTTAGATTTTTTATCAAGCTTTTGTTGACCTTGAGAATTTGTCAAACCATAAGAAATACATCCAAAAATTCATAAGTGACTTGCATTTAGCCTCCTTCCATACCAGTGGAGTCTTATTTATGATAGCCCTCACTGGTGAGCGATTCAACATGTAGATAGATGTTGCTACAGCTTCCACCTGAAACATATTTGAAAGTTCTTTTGCTTGTCGCATGCTTTGTGCCATATCTACAATGGTTTGATTCTTTCTTCAAGTAACACCATTTTACTCTGGAATATAAGGAGTTGCTAACTCCCTGTGGATGCCATTTTCTTCATAGAATAGATTGAATTCATTAGACATGAACTCTCCTCCTTTATCTTTGCGAAGAACTTTGATATGACTACCACTTTGATTTTCTACAAAAGCTTTAAATTTTTGAAACTTCTCAAAAGTTTCTAACTTGTTTTTTAGAAAATACAACCAACTCATATGACTATAATCATCAGTAAATAGCAAGAAATAATAATTCCCACCCAAGGACTTGGTTTGCATTGGCCTACATAAGTCAGCATGAATTAATTCTAAACATTTAGAAGCTCTCCAAGCTTTTCCAATAGGAAATGACATCCTAGTTTGTTTTCCACAAATGCAACCCTCACATAAATTAATAGAATTAATTTTTAGTAGTCTAAGAACCATACCTTTACCACTCAGCAATTTCAAGCTCTTTAAGTTAAGATGCCTATACCTCAAATGCGACAACCTAGTCTTCCTTTGCACTTGCAACAAAAGCAAAATTCTCTGTATTGGTCACGTCTAGTAGAAACATCTTGTTAGGAGCCATATGGACATGAACTTTTTTGCCTAACTTCTCATTGGTAATGACACATGCATTGTCATTAAACAGAACAGAACATCTACTTGCCATTAGTTGTCCAATGCTCAATAGATTAGATCCTAAATCAGGTACAAATTGAATATTGTCCAGCATTTTTACTTTGCCATTGGTAGTGTCAACACTAATAGTGCCTTTTCCTTCAACCTACATGTCCCTCTAGTTTCCAAGCTGTACCTTTGGTCTTTGTGACTCATCAAGCTCCTTAAATAACAATATGGTCCTTGACACGTGATTTGAACAACCATTGTCAACAAACCACAAGTCACTTGGCTTATGGTTAGTGTCAATACAAGCCATAGACAACATGTTGTCCTCCTCATTCTTTACTACAAAGTTTATATTCTAATCTTTAAACGAGCAATTAGCTTAGATATGTCCATATTTACTATAATGATAATATTGAATGTCACTTTTGGTGTAACTGTGCTCATTAGATTGCCTTCCTTTGCTTATACCATTACCACGGCCACGACCTCAGCCACCGCGGAATCCTCCCCTTCTACGACCTCTGCTTGCTGGTCTATCATTTTCTTCCTGATTAGTGGCTGTCTCTTTTACTTGGAATGCCTTCTCCTCATTCCTTTCCATCAACTCATCTACTAAAAGAACTAACAAATCCTTGGCTTCTTCTATGGCAACCACAATATGATTAAACTTTACAGTCAGGCTCCTTAAAAATTTTGCAACAATCGTCTTATCAGAAATATGTTCTTGTACGATCGCATCTGACCAACTATTGCCATTGTTCTTGCCAAAAACACAGCAATTGATTCATCATTCTTCATTAATAAGGTTTTAAAATCATGTCTTAATGATTGTAATTTCACAACAATGACCTTCGAATCACCTTGAAGCTCCTTCCGCAGAATTGATCATGCTTCTTTTAATGTGGTTGCTGATGCAATTCGTGAGACAATATTTGAAGAATGAACAGCGCCTTAGCATCTCTTTGCTTAGTTGCGTTCAACCTCTCCTCTTCTTCTTTAGTGGGTTCTAATATTTTGATGAAGCCATATTTCACCAAGTCTGACAACTCCTCCTATTTGAGCAAGGTCTTTACTTTAATGCTCCACCACTCATATTTCGCTCCATTAAAAATAGATAAGAGTGATTAAGAAGAAGAAAAACATGTGAGTGTTGCCATTTTAGTAAAACTTTGCAAAACAATAAAAGAACTCTCTCTCTCTCTCTGGTGTTTCCCAAGACTGACCCAAATGGTGCTTCTCTCAAAAACCTAATGGACCTAACCTCACTTTTTACTCTATTGCCCCCAAGATCAAAGTAGGCTTTGACACCAACTTTGTTGGATCATGTGATGGAGATAAAATAAGATAAAGAAAGCTGAATACTCAATGCATTAATTGAAACAAAAGTGTCTATATTTATAGGCTTACAAAGAAACAAATTCAACATGAATTTAGAGACCTACTACTGCCTACTAAGCTAGATAACAACAACTTATTTGACCATAAGAAAAAATCTAGAATAAACCTAGATATTTGCTAATAACAACCCCCTATGTAACTGACACGAAATAAAAATAGGAACAACTTAATTAATTAAAATATGACTCCAATTTATACGGTTGACCCAGTATGTTTTTTGAATCAGACTTCAATATAATTTGAGTATATTAAAAAAAAATTAGTTAAGTGGTTATTTGTAATAAATATGTATTGTCTTTACTAAAATATCCTTTTTAATCAAATGTATTGGCTAGAACTATCATTATTACAAGGATTATCTTAAAATAATAAATAAATATGAGAGACAAAGTAGATTGAGGTTTTATATTTGTAACCAAAATAAAAATCAAATGGTCTCTCATATTAAGGACCATATGTAGTATTAAAGTCCTCATCTTCACCTTTGGACAAGTATACATAAAGTAATTTATCTATTCAATGGGAGTGTACCTTTTTAGTTTTAAGGTAGTTTGGAGTGTTTTAGAGTAACTCTAGAATAATTTTTAGGGCTATATCTTAATGTATGTTTATATGCATGATTCTTATAAACGCTCAAAGAAACACTTTGGAGTAACTTTGTTGTAATTATCTATGAACTAGAGTAACAGATAACTTTGAAAATTCTTTTATATACATGTGGATCATATGTAATGGTATTGTGATTGACATTCTCTTGATTTTATATCGAATTGTAAAAATACATCTATCTACTAAATCTCATTTAATACTTGTTTTATTTTAATCATGATTTATACTATTGAGAAACAAACTAATTATTTCATAATAACAATAGTTAAATTTCTCTGCAATTATAATAATTAGATTGTAACAGTATTATAATTATTTATACTATTAATCTTGGGTTAGAGCTGGGAAAACGAGCCTAGTCTGTTAGGTAGTCCTGTTTAGGCACAAAAACTGTGAGGGTCGGTTTTGAAATTTTTTTCTCTGAATAAAAAAAGAGATTAAAAAGGCTGGTCCTTTTTTTGTTTTTTAAAATTTTTTTGTATAATTCTAATATTATTAATTTTTATACTGTTCATTATGTTTCGAATATTTAGTTATTATTATCATTTTGAAATTAAATTTCACAAAATAATTTGATTTATTTGATTTTAGACAATAATTTGTCTAATTAAATTGTAAAAAATGGGTTAATTTGCCCTTTCTCATCCAATTAAATTTAATTGATATTATAGGTGTTGATATTTTTAAACTATTTATATTTGATAAAAGAGTATTTTTATACTTATATAACTTATGGTTCTATAACTTGAATTAAAAATTTATGAGTTTCAATGACAATACTTCTCAAACTAAAATAAAATAAAAGCTAGACTGCAAAATTTAAAAGTGAAATTCACATAAAGAAGAAGAACTTGATATTTTTGCCACGAAAGAAGAGCATACTTATGAAGAAAAGCAATTAATTATAGTGATGATGAAGTTTTAAAAAATTAATGATAGTGTTTGTTTATTGCACATTTGCACTACTAATAAATTTTTAAATGTTGTTATCTTGTTGAGTAATGTTTTAAATGTTCTTGGATCTTGATGGATATTTATATATGATGATATTTTGTATTTGTGACTTAATTTTATTCATATTTATATCTTTTATTAATAATTTCATTGGTTTATTTTTATTTTTTGATAAAAAATGTGAGAAATATAAAAAAATAATTTTTTTTCCTTTAAATGGTCCAAAAGCCCATGCACCGACCCTGAGCCTATTAACTTATAGGCTAGCCCTAGCAAATTGGAGTGTTTTTGAAAATTCAACCCTACAGGACTGACCCTTTTAAGCTTGTTGGCGTGCAAGGCCAACGCGTATTCCCACTTCTATCTTGGATCTCTCTACAGATGGGAGTTAGATAAGAAAATATGTATGTTAGACTTGTTTTATATATGTGTGATCTCTTGTCGTTCAAAGGTCAAATTTAATACTCTAGATTAGGTAGGAGATGAGTCAACTAGAGGTCAGTCTCAAGGAGCCTTAATGTCTTCTGGAGTTAAACTAGCTAGAAGTTACAAATTAAACTAACAGAGAATGAGGTAGCTTCTGGAATTGGTTTCTGTCATGAATTGTTATTTATGAAAACTGATTTTCAAAAGGAATGAGAGAAGAATAAGATGCAGAAAAGAGTTTGAAAGAGATATCAATGAAGTGAATTCCCTTGGATCTGTGATTTCACCTTCCTTGCAACCTAAAATCAGATTTCTATTTCTCTGAGGCAATTCATCAAATAGTAGGTCTGCAATCAACTCTAATGATGTAATTAGATAATTTCCAGGATGAAGATTAACCAATTCACCTCAGATTTATCACAACAATTAAGTTTCAGACTTAACCAAATCAAAAACTGAATTGAAGCTACTCAGAAAAAGGAAATTATAACCTCAAAACACATCACAACTCAGAAGTAGCAGAACCTAATGAAATCTAATATGAGTTATATATCTGAATTTCAAACAAAGATTTATAAGAAGATCCAAATTTGAAACATAAATACAAACTCAAGAAAAACGAAATCTCCTTAACAATCAGTGCTCTGGATCCATCACAGCTCCTCAGGAATCAATGGCTTAGTTGCTCATGTTGATGGAGGAAATCTGGCCAAATCTCCTCTGAATCTCCATGGCAAAACGCAAGAGAAGAGAAGAAGATGAAGAAGATGAATCTGGAAGTTGAGAGAATCTGGAGAAGTGAAGAAAAGAAGAGAATGAATGAGAATGCTGGAATTCAGTATCAGATCTGTTTTTCTCCTGAAGCTTCTGGACGTCCAGTTTTGTTTTTAAATTTTCCCTTCGCCTTCTCACCTCATTCTCCACCATTTGAAGGCTTGTAATGTTGTATTTTGACATGTGAAACTTCCCTGCCTTTAGCTGTGCGTTTTACTAAAGCCTAAGACATGTGTCACTTTCTTGAAACTCACTAGCCATGGAGCTATGCGTTTTACTTAGAGTTTTTCCTCACAGAATGCTACACTAGACCACATATGATTCCAGCTCTTAACCAGATTCAAAACACTGCGTTTTAACTCCTAATTCAAGATTTTTGGCTACATCTTTCCAGATTTTGTCCATTCTTCACCAATACTTCCAGAATTAGAGAAAATCCCTTTCAATCCTGCAATGATACATCAAATTCTCACAGCATCATTTCTTATCAAATATTAGAAATCTAAAGTTAATTCCACATGAAAGCATTTAAATTCAATGGGAAATCACATTATTTAGTTGATCAAAATGTGGTTCATCAATGTGTTAGTCTGGAACTTTATTCAGGCACGCTTGTGTGTATTCAAATCGTTTATAATGTACCTAAAGCTTTTCAAGTATGTTTGGGTAAGTCGCAATGTATGATTTGAATTGGAATTGTTTTATAGTGCTATGATCTGGAATGATGTCATATTTTGATAACAGTTTAGTATACGAAAGTCATTGCATTTGCATACATGATGATGGGCTTAGATTAGGAGGAGCAAGTGTATATGATAATAAATTCTTTTACCACGTAGTATGCTACTACTTAGTGCATAGTAGATAGCACTTTTTAAGACTAATTCTATTATGTTTTCTTTTGGTTGGAATTATATTGGAGCTGCAAAACACGCAACATCTCCCTAGTATTATCCTTTATTTTTAAGGAGGGAGGCCATAGCTCTAACTTAAGGTCTATGCCTTTAGTAGGGTACATCTCAAGTATTGATGAGGTTAGAACTGTTCAATCACATGGATTGATTCTTATTAGATTATATGTATTAGCCTATGGCTCTAGTCAACAGTATAAAGATGGACGGTGATATAAGAGATGCATATTATATCTCTTCATATATATAATGTTTTATATGGAATGTGAGATTGTGTTATCATTACGAATTAAAAATAAGTTTGAGATAAATGTGATGTGTAATTAACATAATTATGTAAACATATAGATGATTATAAATGACTCTATATTATGCTGTGTGAGGTCTGCGTGTATATGTGAGATTTTCAATATTATTGAAATGTCGTATCTCACCCTTTATCTGAGTTAAGGGGAGGCACCAGGAGATTTAGTTCTAAAGCTTTATTGTACTCATTTAATATGTGTGTTTTTATATTTAATTGCCATGTTTAGTTTTCTATCTAATTTTTATTTTTTTTAAGAATTCAGTTGATATTTTGGGTTATTTAGTTATAACTTGTTGAGTTGGGCCGGTGTCATTTTGGGGCGTAGTCCCTGAGCCCTAATGAGATGTGGCTAATAATTGAGTGCTAAGTATGTAATGCTATTAAATCCCAAAAGCCGTCTGCCGTTGATCCGAGATCCCTTTTCAGATTAAGTGTAAACCAATCCTTCAGGGGTGCTGAAAAGAAGGAGGAGTAATGAATAGGATTTAGAATTTGTTCCCACAAGTTTCGAGCATAGACGCAGTCACACAATATATGGAGGATATCCTCATGGCTCTAATTGCAATGATCACAAATAGGAGAGGAAGCTGCCCATATACTTCTCCATGCCTTAGTAGGTAGATGATCATGATAGGCAATCCACATAAAGACTCTTATTCTTTCAATGCCTCCCTATCTCCATATGGCTTTGTAAGTAGCGTTGCGAGTAGAATCTTTGCCCTTTTCAATCAAACAGTAGGCACTTTTGATATTAAATTCACCATTTACTATTTCACTCTAGGATAAAATGTCTTCTCCAGCCGTGGGCATTGGTGGGAGCTTGGCTATTAGGTTATGCTGGACGTGTGAAGGGAGTATTGTAGAAAGTCTTACAAAATCCCAAGAACCATAGGCTACCCAATCAGCAACTTTACTCTCTTCCTCTCTTATTGATAGTGGTCTAAGACATAAGTCTTTAACCATTTCATCGTGTATTAGCCACTTATCAGTAAAGAACTTCACAGATTGGCCATTCTTGATATTCCATTTTGATCCCCTGTCAACAATATGCTTTTGCTAAGAGATAAATTTCCAGAGATGAGAGTCACCCTTCTGTGCTTCTAGCATATTGGATTCATTCCTCATCATGTTTTTGTTGAATAAAACATCAGCCCACAAGCCTTTTGCTCCTATTCTAAGCTGCCAAGCTAATTTAGCTCCAAAAGCATCATTTAGACTAGTAAGTCTTTTAAATCCGAGTCCTCCCCGGAGTTTGGGTTGAAGAACTTGCTCCCAACTAATAGGATGAAATCCATGATTTTTATTAGAGCTACCCCAAATAAAGTTTCGTTGGAGTCTTTCTACCTCCAAACAGATAGAGACTGGAATTTTAGCCACTTGCATCGGGTAAAGTGGAATGGCATTGATGACTGACTTTGCCAAAACAATTCTACCAGCTGTTGTGAGATAGTTTGCCTTCCAGGCTGACAGACGAGATCTAACATTATCAATTATATATCGAAAAGTATCTTTAGGTCTCCTCCTTCTGGTGATCGGAAGCCCAAGATATTTCCCTATCTCACAAGAAATCTTCATATTTGTGATTGAATAGATTTTTCCTCTCAAGTCAGCATGCAGTTTCGGAGAAAAGAAAACAAAGGATTTATTAATACTGATTTTTTTCCCTTGATGCTGCATAGAAAGCGTTCAAACAATTCATCATATGATGGGCTTGTCTCTTTGTAGGCTCTCCAAAGAGTAATAAGTCATCTGCAAACATGAGGTGATAGATGGCAGGCCCTTCTTTAGTAACCAGGATAGGCTTCCAAGTCCCATTACTAACAGCATCAGCAATCATATGAGAAAGCCTATCCATGCACAACACAAATAGTAAAGGAGAAATAGGATCTCCTTGTCTAAGCCAAGGTGCCATTCCACGAAACATTATAGGAGACAGAAATGACACCATCTTCAACCCAGACTTTACCAAACTAGAAGAACCAACTATCATCGTTATGAATAGTTGGAGAAATTATGTGCAGATGGCAGAGGATTATGTGAAGAGATCATGTTGGCAACCACCTGACAGGGATTGGATTAAATTAAATGTGGATTGAGTTGTATCTTCCACAGCCTTGAGAGCCGGATGTGGAGGTGCTATATGGGACCACAATGGTACTTGGCTTGCTGGCTTTAACCATTTTATAAGATCCTGTTTAGTGTTGGAGGCCAAGCAATGGGCTATTTACAAAGGATTGGAATTAGCCTGGCGCATGGGCTTTAAAAGAGTAGTATTGGAATCTGATGCTCATAATCTCATTCATGCATTATAGGGCGAGAACAATGTGATTATGGAAAATCTTTTAATGTTGCGAATTAGAAGTCTTTTGGCA